AAGTAATATTACAACACATCTACCGCAAATTTCACATCACTGGAATACTGAAAAGTCTTTCATTGGCACACAATGTTTACAGAGAGCATTTACCAGTGGCAGAAGCTATTATAACAGAGCATAATCTCGCTGACACCTTCATATAACTAGCCTGTACCTATGCATTCTTTAATAATAAACACAGTTCAGTCTATGCTATCAAGTAATATTACAACACATCTACCGCAAATTTCACATCACTGGAATACTGAAAAGTCTTTCATTGGCACACAATGTTTACAGAGAGCATTTACCAGTGGCAGAAGCTATTATAACAGAGCATAATCTCGCTGACACCTTCATATAACTAGCCTGTACCTATGCATTCTTTAATAATAAACACAGTTCAGTCTATGCTATCTCTTTTCCTCTACAGATGTAAGCTAATTCTCTCTCTTGTGCATTTCAGCGTGGCTCACAGTCAGGCCTTGGCTTAAATGCATCAATAGAGATTTTATTAGTTGACCATTCCCAATCAAGAAAGCTCATTCCCTTTGTTTATGCTGCTCCCAGAACAAAAGAACCAGCCATTATAGCAGATGAGACAAATTCAAATCCATATGAAAAGACACTTCAGTGCACAAAGTTGTGCTTTAAGATAGGCATTCAGCATGAAGCACAACTTTTACTCAAAATAAGGAAAAAGAGGGAAACCTACTCTTTCACATTGCTGCAGGAGCGTTGCTTGCTGAAATGGAGTGTGCTAGTCTAGACAAGAAAACAAATTGAAAGGTCCCAAAGTAGGGAGCTGCAGAGAAATTAACAGACACAGCACTTAAAGATTGTTTTGGATTGAGTGCAGCCAATCCAAACCGTTTTTCATAAAGATTTTTTACAAAGAAAACAGAAATTAAAATATACAGAATTTACAGAGAACAAGATGTCATGGTGATAGCAAGCAAGAATGCAGCTCAAGGTTGTAATCCTTAAATACTTTGCTAACATACTATATCAATGCTGAGAAGAATATAAGAGTAGTGTAATAAGATATTTATAAAATATATAGCCTCACAGATACAATAGGATTATCAAAAATTAGAAGTTAGAGATTCTACCTCCAGGAAGATCGAGACCAGCTAACAAATTAACTTTGATTTACCACTTATTTACTGATATAGGGCTCAATGTGAGAGATTTTAATTAAAATGAATAAATAAAAATCAGATCCAAAGAACATGCCCCAGTCAGAACTTAAAGACAGACTTCATCTTCTCAGCCATGTCCTTTTGAAGACTGACCTTGGACACTTGCATTTAACTTACAAAAAGATTAAATGAAATTTTGATTGCAGAAATGAATAATTAGAAAAAAAGACATACTAAATTACACTTCATCCACTATTTTAGAACTTTAAATAAGAGAGAAAAATGTGATAATAACATTAATGGTTTTGTCGCCTCTACTGTTCTGTAGTTGTGCTTCATCCAGTTCCCTCTCCATTTTCTCCTTCTCTAAATTCAAATCATTTAGTTCTTGATCAGTCCTTTTAATCCTCCTTTGTAGTTTCCGGTTCTCTGTATCTTTTGTAAGGTTTTCTGAACGCAGCTCTGCTAGAAGGGTTTCTTTTTCCATCAAGAGAGCTTGATAATCCTCAGCACCCTAGAAGAGAAAGCAGGATTTATAGGCAGTATATATACGGTATGAAGCTTGGAAGTCCACGCTCCTGTTTTTCTTCCCCTCTCTTCCTTGAATAATTTCATTTGCTTTCAAAATTCAGTGCAATATCAATTATCCAAACAGCATAGGAACATTATTTTGGGTAATTAGGATAATTTTAATAAAGGCCTTAAAATGAGATAAAAGTTGGGATAAAAAGCAGTTTGGTAACTTTGGTTTAGACAATAAAAGTTGAACTGCAAAGGAGTCTAGAGTGAAAATAAGAATCATCTGGGGCTTTTGGAAATAACAGTATATAAAAATTTTCACATGCAGTCTGAGACCTAGTCATAACCATGTTGTGAATATGAACTGGAAGGCAATCACTGTTCACTTCAGATCATATACACCATTGTAGTTGGCTGCCTTGTTGACTGTCACAGCAGAAATCATGCAGCTTGATTTCCCTCACTGATCCAAAGCAGGGGTCCCTGCAGCCCAGTGTTGAAGCTAACTGGCAGGATAATAATGGGAAATATTTGCTCTGTCACTCACCATCCTATGGTGGTTCTGCAGCCAGGAGAGTTTAGTTTCCAACTTTATAAAAACTAACCTTTCCCAAGACCAAAAAGTTATAAAAGATAGGATGGACCAACTGTATTTCACTAAATAGAACTCTACTGGTATAAGACTGTAAGTGTTCCAACATGCATGCCATACGCAGAGGCCAAAAGTTATTTGAAATACATCTGGGGAGAACAGTTTATATTTGCACCAATTTGTGTGTGTCGCTTTCTTATAGTAACCTTTTTTTTCCATGTCTGAGATCAGTTTATAAAGCAATACTAATTTCTAAGTTGATTAGATTGCAACAACTTAAATTCAATTCAAAGCAAAAATGCTAGCAATCATGAAGATTCAGGCTATTCAGGATATATCTACAAAGCAAAGAAAAACCAGAGGCTAGTCTCTGCTTTTTGACTCAGGAACATGAGATTCGGGTTGAAGAGCTGTTTCATTGCTGTGTAGACTTCTAGGTTTGGTAGGGTGGCCAGGTTCTAGCACCCTATGGTGTTGGAGGGTCCCAAAGCCCAGATTCCAGCATAAGCATGCAAGTCTACACAGTAATGAAACAGCTCTGCAGCCTGAGTCCCATGTGCTAAAATCAACTGGCATGAGCCAGCTGTAGGTTTGCCTTTGCTGTGTAGCTGTACCTCAGTAGCTTTGATGCACACACATTAGCATGCATAACACTCCTGTGACTCTTTCCACAGAGATCAACAAGTGAAGTAAACTTCATGATGGAACATAATTTTGTTTTTAATCAGGGCTATTTTAATTACTCACTTTGGGAATTTGAGTTTTATTAGTTTTGGGATTTAAGACCAATGCACAAACAAAAAAGGTAAAATGTGATTTTTGATTTTGTGAACTATTTTGAAGTCAAATACTCACTTTACCAAAGGCTTCGTTTTATAAAATGAGGCTTTTATATATTGCACTAACTACTATACAGTCCATTTCTCCTCTGCACACATGAAAGTTATTAATTTCTGCTGATCTGAAAAAATTCACACCTATTACAAAAAACAAAATTAAACAAAAACACCAAATCTTACACACCCACTCCTAGTCTACCAATAAAAAGGAGACAGCTGTATGTCATCACCAAACTTATGGCAATGCAGCCCAAAATGTTTCACTAGCTTCCCCAGTACTCTCTTACATGTGAGTAGAAAGAACAAAAGAACTTTTCATAAACCATCAAGACAGACTTTTGTGGTGGATGAGAAGTTATCCAGCACCACTAGTTGAGAGGAAAGAAAGAAACCACTCAAATGCTATCTTCACTGGCATAGTCCAGATTAGTGTCAACATTTGGAATAAATTTTCACTCACTTACAAAATTACATATTTCAACTGAGCACTGGAGTTTACCGAAGCTAGTGATTGTCTTCTTCCTGTACTAAGAAAGCTTACTGGAAATTTATGAAAATGTATTCTTATTTTACATTTAAGGTTACTCTCTTTAATTATTCATTCTCACAGTTGCTAATAAGAAAAAAATCGAGGAACAAATATAGTAGTCAGATAGTTGTACTTTCAGTGTTCCATAATTTAAACTGAAATACTTTAGGCAATTTGCTTAACAATAAGAACAATTAAACATTTTAAATTAGTTTTCATTTCTGCACTCCCTGCATCTTCTGCATGAAAATACTGAAAGGCAGTTGAAATTGTTTGTCTCTTACCTTGAATTTCTGGATCTGAGCTTTGTGAGTGGCCTCTCTTGACTTCACCAATGAAACATTTAGGTTTTCAATTTCAGAATTAAGTTCTTCATTCTTTACACAAAAGAAATACTCGTGGATGCATGAGCACAAACATCAAAAGTAACAGCATCAAAATAAAGTTATTTTCTGAGTGGGCACAGTTGAATAATAAATTATCAACTTGTTTACTTATTCACTGAAGGATAAACAAAAAATACATTATAAATCATTGAAAATGCCCACCTCTACTTTATATGCAAAAAAGCAGTCCGATACCTATACAAGTTCAGTAACTTGTATGTCCACACTGTTCCACAAACATCTGACCTTCATCTGAAGGTGGCCCCTACTAGCCAGGCTTTTGTCATTAAGCTCATTCTCACCACACAAGGTATTCTAGCTTGTGCCTTTCTGGCTGTTCTAAAATTGCTTCACTGAGATTTCGTTCAGAAGCTCTCTCTTCTAGGGATGTGAAGGCTATTAAGGCAATTAAGGTTAACCAGTGAGGTTGGTGCAGCACCCCACTTGCTGTGGGCAGGGTGCTGCTCCAGCCTCACAGGGAGCCCTCCTTTAATCAGTTAACTGATTAAACAATATGCTTGTTAATAATTAAAACAGGATTTTACATCCCTACGCT